CAGCCAATCAATGATTCTCTCTCATCACTGATGTTTCTCTCTCTCTCTCTTTAAAATAAAATAAAATAAATAAAAAATATATTAAAACAGCAACAAAAAATAAGTGTCTGAAGAAGTTCTTTAGAGAGAATGAAAATGAGATAAAGAAGATATCACAATAATAAAACAAGAAAAAGGTGCTTTGAAAAATGAACAAAATAAAATCTAGCACCACAAAATTACAAGTGTGACAACCAAATTAAAAAATAAATTAAAAGAAGAGTTGAAAAGTTAAGAAAATTTCCCAGAAAAAAAAAAAAAGCAGAAAAGACTAAAGAGATGGAAAAAAAGAGATAAGATAACTAGAGTTTCAACTCAGGTCCAACATCTGTCTAACTGGAACTCCAGAAATAGGGAACAGAAAAAAGGGGGGCTAAGAGGGGGGAGGAAAGAAGGAAAATATTATCAAAGAAATAACTCATGAAAAGTTCCCCAAACCGAAAGAGATGAGTCTCCATACTGAGGCCGGTACACTGAATTTTAAGAGCTGGAAATAAAGAGAAAATCTTAAAAGATTTTCTGAGATGGTAGGGAAGGGGGGAGGGAGGCAGAGGGGAGGCGTGGAGGCCAGGAGGGAGGGAGCCATGCCTCTTAGCATCCTTGCAAGCTAGAAGATAGCAATGCCTTCAGAATTGTAAGTGAAAATTTTCTACCTAGATGTCAGTATACAACCAAACTCTCAATCAAGTTTGAGGCTAAAATAAAAATATTTCCAGGTAAGCATGGGGGTAAATAAATGTGTATCCTATGCAGCCTTTCTTAGAAAGTCACCGGAGAACATGCTTCCGAAAAACAGAGCTGTAAAGGCAGAAAGCAGAAGGCAAAGCATCCAGGAAGCAGCGTCAGCTTCAGAAGGATGACCTAGGAGGGTGGTTCCAGAAAGGCCGCTGGGCAGCCGACCAAAAGGTAGCCAGCCACTCAGTTGTCGCAGGAATATGGAGAGCTACAGAAGAAAGTTCTCCAGGGGGAAAATGAAACTCACCCTGGCCGGGTAGCTCAGTTGGTTAGAGCGTTGTCCCGCTATGCCAAGGTTGCAGGTTCGATATCTGGTCAGGGCACACGCAAGAGTCAACCAATGGCCCTAGCTGGTTTGGCTCATGGATAGAGCATCAGCCTGTGCAAGTGAAGGTTGCAGGTTCGATTCCGGTCAAGGGCACATGCCAGGGTTGCGGGCTTGGTCCCCAGTAGGGGGCGTGCAGGAGGCAGCCAATCAATGATTCTCTCTCATCATTGATGTTTCCATCTATCTTTCCCTCTCCTTTCCTCTCTGAAATCAATAATATATATATAAAAGAATATATATCTATAATAATAAAAGTGTAATATGCTAATTAGACCGGATGTCCTTCTGGACAACCTTCCAGACGAAGCTGGGGCTGCGAGGGCCAAACCCTTTGCACAAATTTTGTTCATCAGGCCTCTGGTATATATATAAAAGAGTCAACCAATGAATGCATAAATAAGTGGAACAACAGGTCTCTCTCTCTTTCTCTCTTAATACCAATCAATAAATAATAAAAAAAGAATCAACCGATGAATGCACAAATAGATGGAACAACAGGTCAATGTCTCTCTCCCTTCTTATTTCTTTTTCTAAAAAAAAAATCAATAAATAAGTTTTTAAAAATCTACCTACATGAGTAGTTTGATGTTTGAAGCTTATAATTGTTATTAAATATGAATTGAATGTCTACTGTAGACCATGTTCTAATTCTAGCTTTTCTGCATGTTATGAGGCCTTAGGCAGTACTCCTTGGGTCTTGATTTCCTTATCCGTAGATTACAATATTTGCTGTGGCAGAGACTGCCTGGCCCTTTCCCCATTCTTTGATAACAATAGAGCTTGTGAAACAATAGGAGATAGACATATGCTGCCAGCAGCTCCTGGCACAGAGCTCCTAAAACCCTCGCAATTTCCTAGTGGTAAGAGTGCCTTTGTCCTAATGCAGCAACTCCTGGTGGACTGGACCCCTGGACGGGGCTGGTCTTGAGAGAGTCCAGGCCAGGATGCGAAGCTTGGGATTTTCAGACCCATCCTCGTGTCCTCTGGGCAGCGGGGAGGGGAGAGGGGCTGGAGATTGAGCTAATCATTGATCCTGCCTGCGTGGTGGAGCTGCCATAAAAGTCCTCAGAGTGCCTGGCTGGGAGAGTCTGAGCTAGTGAACACAGCCATGTACTAGGAAGGTGATGCACCCCAACCGCACGGGGACAGAAGCTCCTGCCCCCGGGGTCCTTCTGTTCCTCCCTTGATGTACGTACGCCTTTATCTGGCTGTTCATCTGTATCCTTTATCCTTTGTAGCAAACCGGCAAATGCGTTTCCCTGAGTTCTGTGAGCCATTCTAGCAAATTATCCACATACTTTCCCCCGCCCTGTGCTTTATTTATTTATTTATAAAGGGTTTTCAATTTATTTTTTTTTAAATATATTTGTATTGCCCTAACCGGTTTGGC